AAATGAAAACGTAAAGATAAAATAAAAGATAAAAAATAGATAGAATGAAATGACTAGATAATCCTCATACAACAAGCTACTACGAGAATGAATGATAAGAGTCACTCGAAAACTTAAGTCTAACCTCTCAAGATGATAACTTTTCTATGTTTTACTTGCACGACATAATTTATTAAAAGTGCCCTATGCTATCTCTAGTCAAGGGACTCGACATGTTGAGAATGCAATGGGAATACCTATTGGTATTCGCATGTGCAGAGATCCCATCAGTCTAATAGAATATGTCACGACAATACCATTCAATATTCGAATCAAAAAATTCATATCAATAAAATCATAACTCAAGAAAATTAGTAAACATAATCATGCTTTCAAAATTAGTTAAAACAAAATAGAAAAAATATAGCGCATAAGGAACACACCTCGTGAAACGGGTCAATCTAAGAGATTTGTTGAGCATAGGTCTTGCTATTATAAAAAGCAGTACAAGATCAACTAATCACAACTTATGTAGACGGATGGATTGGGAGGTACTGGGTCGAGCTTCTAATTTTATCTCACGAACCCGGACCATCAACTATATAGACTCAAATCCAAAAATAATTTCCCTTGTGATTTCCCCTTTTTGACTTTATTACAAAATCCTAATTCTACGTTCGCATGAAACCATTTTCCTTATTTCTTAATTTGTTTTCTTCTCCTTTTCCTTCTACTTCTACCGAGAGTTTTATATCACAAGCTTGGTCTCTCCCATAGCCGGTCAATAGCCTTCATTAACCGTCGGTGACTAACGCGTTGACCATCATCATCGGTCGTCAATCGGGACCCAAAGTACATGGTTTGAATCCCCTCAAGCTCCTAATCACGAATCCGGCCTTCGATCATAAACAAATATCCCTGATCGTCGTATATCTAGCAAAAATCATTCAGTTTTCTCATAGCCAAAACCCACCGATACGCTTCTGCTGACCGTTCAATGTTGTTGGCTTCGAGGTATGAGCTTCCAGGTGACGTGAAGGACATCCCCACCGTTGTGATCATTCGATCGACGTACAAAATGTCAAGAACAAGAAACCCCCAACTCGTCGGCCACTACTTCCTTTCTTTTACTTGTTTTTAGAATTGTTTGGTTGTTGATTCATGATGGTTTGGTTGCAAGTAAGAACATGGTACACGAGTTGAGTTACTTCGTCAGATGTTTGGTGTTGTCAAAGATATCAGTACTGTTCACGTAATAACGACTGGGCGAGTGCTCCCTTGATGGCTCACCACCGTTTGGAATGTAGGATGATTTCTAATGGGGAATTGGTTCAGTGTTGGTCGGTTCTATTATTAAGATGGACTAACCGGTTCAAGTTTTGGGTCAAGTTTAAAGGGTTTACTGCTTCGGCATCAAACTGATTCAACATGTTGAATGCTATAATCGTGCTAAGTTATTCAATTGAATTTATTCTTATGTTGAATGCTATAATCGTGCTAAGTTATTCAATTGAATTTATTCTTACTACCTGGTCATTCTTTCCAACACCCACTAAATTTCAGCAATATATCTTTCAGGGTTGTGTGGTTTTCCAATTTTTTTTATTATAAAAAATAAATTAAAACTTCCACATCACACAAAATGGATAAATCACGTGAATTCTAGAATGTCCCCAAACCAAAGAAGGGCAAATTACAAAAAAAATCCTTTAATTATATCAATTTTTCTTTAGTGAACCTAACATTTTAATTAGACTACTTCTATAAATATCATACAAAATTTTAACCCCCATAATGTGGTGTGACAATTCACCTCCCATTAAAAGATTTTTTCCCTTGAAATTCACCTTCCTCAGAGATTTACAAAATCCAAACTTATATACTAAATCTAAACTTTATTGAATCCTTAGTCTCCTAAGCTTATGTAAGATTTCAATTCTCTCACTGAGCTTTAACCATCGATAGTCATTTAGTTAGCAAAACTCTTTCATTATAACTCAAAATTCTGAACAAAATTTTTCTGGTGCAACAAATCAGATCTTAGTTTGCCTTTTCATCAAATCTTAATTCTTTCCTCCACAAAGATTCTTGGATAACATCTATTCTTCAAAACAAAACTCAATGCCACATTCCTTCATATTAACCTAATATTATTTTACATCAATATGGATCTCAAAATTCTCATCTATAACCTTTATAAACACGATCAAACACGTACACATAAATATCTTAAGATCATAACAAATTTCTACCTTAGCTAACGAGAATCAAATTTCGAATATATCTTCAAAAGGAAGATTGATCACTCAGAATGGGTCAAACAAGTTTCTTATTTGCACAAAATTCATGTTCTCAATAGATTATAACCCCTCCATTATGGTGTGACATGCATGTTATTAGCTTTGGTGTGTCCTCTCTCCTAGATGAACCAATTTCTTTTGTACCCCAAATCATCAAGATTACAGTCAGCTAGAGCAGTTCTAAAGCCTGCCATTTAACGTTCATTGGGGAGAAGACCTCTTTATTTCTTCAAAGAGTCCACAATTTCGATGAAATCACCGACTATACGTCATGTGACATTTGGAGCGTCATTGAGTTGTCAAAGGATTTTCCATGATTTCTTTCCCTTGTTGAATTCAAGCCCCCGTAAAATCCAATGAACCTCCAAGTTTTTTTATCTGCATCATTATTGATTAGTACATCGATATGTCTATCAAAAAGTGAACGGAGGGAAATAACTACATATTTTTTCTGGCTAATGGAGAGTACTACATGTTAGAACCAAATCATAATAAATATGAAAATTAACCATGATTTAATCATGTCAAATCATCAAGAACAAAATACTAGAACGCTGAAACGTACCTGAATTAATTGATAGATTGAAATCTTTGAATATTTCTTTGGTTGTGATCTTTCAAGAAGATAGAATTCTCTTAAGTTTAAACTCTCTAACGGGGATTAGAGTAAATACAAGATTATCTATTTATTAGAGACCATAATCCCTTTATATAGCTGATTTAAGAATCCAACGACTTCAATAGTATATGCACTTTTATGTCCATGACACTTCTACTACCTTACGATTTTATAACAAAATTAGTTACTTAATTTATGTCATATTTTATGATAACAATGTACATTATAAATATTTTCCCATAAATATGAATTTTAATCTAATAATCTTCCACTTGGGCAACATATGTTTCCAGATAAACGTCTAATCTCATGAGCTCAAAATTTTTGATAACTCTCTAAAAGCGTTATCTTTAGTAGCCTTTTACACCCAGGCTTACTTTGAACTTGAGCATGTTTGGGATTAAAATTACTTTGTTTTACACATTTTGCATGATAAGATCGTTGTGGGTTGATAAGGGTTAAAATATTTTTTTCTTTTGAAAAATATTACAATGATGTCGTAGCATTGTAGGAAATGTTGAGCGGATGATGCAGCGATCATCCAAGTTCTAGACGGTAGGGGGAAACTTATGGATTAGGAAATTTTGCTCAAGAAACTATCATTTGGCTGTATATCACCTAAACCGTATACATCTTTTATTGGGAGATGAAATTCCTATCCAAGTACTTGAGCACAAAAAGTGTGACGTTCAAGAGCCTTTCCAAGTACCCAATTCTCCACGTCAAATCATCAAGCACATGGAAGCCTATGTCCTCTGCCAGGGATTGATGAATCATAAGGGAACCTTGTTGAGTAGCTTCAATGGTCAACAGTTCTCCATTCAAGCCCTTTTATTGATAAAGGGAGTGATTTGAATGCTTAAACATTTGTTGGATGATATTATGAATTTCATATTTTGTGTTTACTTTGATACTTATTTTATGTGCTTAGAACTTGATGATTGTGTGTAGAAATACTTATAATTAAATATATAGTATTATTTATTAAATTTAGAAATAATTTCAGTCAATTTGCAATATACCTTTGTGAGCATTGGTGTTGCTGAGTAGCATAATGTATGCTGAAAAGTATGCAACCAATTGATTAGTTTTGTTAATATTTTGAGCCTTTAATTTATTGAAGTGTTGAAAGTATTTCAAGAGGTTTTAATCAACGCTAATTGCATAAATTGAGAATGCATTGTATGCATGATATTTGAAGTTCATAATTTTGTGTCTATTGATCTGATAACTGACCAAGTGCTTCCTAGAATATTGTAGCATGAATTGGTGTTTTTCCTTATTGATTTTAATATTTTATTTTTAGCATCTCTTATACATGATAAATCTTATTTTTGCAATAATAATAGCATTCTACTCCCTGTGGATTCGACATATGCAGTATAAATTTCTACCACTTTATTACTTGAGTGATACATATTCTTGAGTTAAATGATGTAGCATTGGGTTTTTGGCATCGTTACCAGTGAGCATCGGTTTGATTTAGAGTTCTTTTAATTTTGCTTTCTTGTTTGTTTTCGTTTGTAGGTATTCTTAGTTTCTATTTTTACTAGTGTATGCCCTGAAGCAACGAAGAATTAGAGATATTTGGTCTATCAATTTGAAAGAACATTTCTGAGGTGTCAGCATGAAGTTGCTATGGCTGGACAAGGGAATTGTATTTTACCCCAGTTGCAAAATGGGGAGAATGATGAGTTGCCAGCTGACAACCATATCGGAAATTGGATGATCGTAATCACCCTATTCATGAGCATGTGGTGCCGACATTAGATGATCTAAATGCGACCATCGTAAGGCCAGTTATTAATGTTGTGAATTTCGAATTAAAGCCAATTATGTTCCAAATGCGGTAATCTATGTGACAGTATGGATGATCTGTTGTTGAAAATCCTAGGCCTCATTTGAGAGCATTTGTGTAGGTTGGGATTCCTTTTATTCAGCAAGGTGTTCTAGAGGAGGCATTGAAGCTGAAGGTATTTCCTTATTCATTGTATGATAAAGAACGTGTTTGGTTGAGTTCACTGACACCAGGTGCTATAGCATCATGGAATTAATTAGTGTAGAAATTCTTATTGCGGTTTAACCCACCTTATATGAATGCTAAGCTTCGAAATGATTTTACTTCATTCAAGTTGTTAGAAGATAAAAGCTTGTATGAAGCATGGGAAAGATTTAAAGAATTGTTGCGAAAGTGACCTATACATGGATTCCCACATTGGACTCAAATGGAGATGTTTTATAACGGGTTAAATATGCACACTCGTATGCTGGTGGATGCTTCAAAAAAAGTAGCTTTGCTGGATAAGACATACAATGAAGCATATGTTATCCTCAAAAGAATCTCCACCAATGATTTCCAATATCCTAATATATGCAACATGTTTGGTCGGCGTAGTGCTGCAGCAGTGGACTCTAAAGCTTTCAACTATATGACATCTTAGATTTCAGCATTGACTGAAATGGTGAATAAATTGCACAAATCAGGAGGAATTTATGAAGATAAATCATCATATCTTATCACTTGCATATGTAGTGGCGATGACCACCCCCAAAATTCATAGTCTATCTACTATGTATAGAATTATCAAAGGAATCATGATACTTTTGGCAACACATACAATGCAAATTTCAGAAATCATTCTAGTCTTTATTGAAGAATTCATATATTGCCAATCCAAAGGACTATCATATCATTATACTCAATAGAGTCAAATGCCACAGCCACAGGCACATCAATTTGTTGCTCAGCCACAACAAAGGTAAAATGACCAAGGTCAATCTTCAAACTAAACTTCAACTTTAACACATTTTGAAGTTATGATAAAAGAATATATGGCAAGCCAATCTACCTCATTAAGGGCTATAAAGAATCAGATGGGACAAATAGCTAATGCTCTAAATAGTCGATTACAAGGAACACATCCTAGCGACACTGAGATCCCAAACAAAATGGTAAATAGCATTGCAAAGCTGTTACCACAAGAAGTGTAATTCATATTGGGGAACCAATTGAAGAACTAATGGGAAATAATGTCGTAGCTCAGAAGCATCATAAAGGGAAGAGCAATGAAGTTGAGCCTAATTCACATGAGATTCAATTTACATTACCAGATGTAGAGCAGAGTAGTAATTTAGAATCATTGTCAACAGTAACCTCTGCTATATTTGACGTTCATCTGACTTCAATGCCTCAGTAAAAAAAACCAAGAATGCCTCCATCTTTTCCACAATGCTTCAAAAAGAGAAAGGAATATCAGTAATACAAAGCTTTTATTGATTTCTTGCTCCAACTCACAATTAACATTCCGTTGATTGATGCTTTAAAGAAAAACCTAAACTATATCAAATTCAGGAAGGAAGTTCTTTTGAAGAAATGGATACTTGGTGAGTTTGAGATAGCTGCTCTTACTGAAAGTTGTATCGCTATGGCCACAAGTCAATTGCCAAGGAAGCTTAAATATATAGGGATTTCACTATTCCTTGTAACATTGGTGACATATTTGTAGGTAGAGCTTTATGTGATTTGGGTGCTAGAATAATTCTAATAGCATTGTCCATCTTTAGGAAATTAAGGAGCGATGAAGCAAGGCCCATTACGGTTACTTTGCAACTTATTGATCACTCTACCTTGCATCCTAGTGGTTTATAGAGAACATGCCTGTAAGAGTTGACAAGTTTACTTTTCCTATGGACTTCATCATTTTAGATTTTGAAGTAGACAAAGATGTTCTAGCTATTCTTGATTGCCCATTCCTTACCACATGACAAGCTTTGATTGATGTTGAAAAAAGAGAATTAATTATACCCTTAAATGATGAGCATATTACATTTAATGTTTTGAATAATATTTCTTATATAAATGACAATGCTGATTGTTTTTCACTTAATGTGATTGACATTTTTGCACATGAGCATTTAGACTAATGTTATAGTGCTGATACAACCCTACTTGATTTAGTAGTATTCAAAGAATTAATGACTGATAAAGAAGAATAATGTTGTAACAAGTATCTCTAGAACATTAAACGTTTGCAAACGAATGATCATATCTTCATGCACCGAAGCCATCCATTGAATAACCACCAAATCTTAAATTAAAACCTCTACTTGAGCATTTGAAATATGTTTATCTTAGAGAAAATGAGATAATGATAGTCATCGTGGCAGCATAGCTTATAACATCTCAAGAAACTCAACTGATTGATATGTTGAAGCAACATAAGAAAGTTATTGTGTGGAGTACTACTAAATAAAAAGCATTAGTCCATCATTTTGCATACATAAAATTCTTTTGGAGGATCTCAATAGTATCTCAATTGAACATCAACAATGATTAAATCCTATCATGAAAGAAATGGTTAGAAAGAAGATTACCAAATGGTTGAATACTGAAATTATATGCCCGATTTCATACAACAATTGGGTCAGTCCTGTGCAATGTGTTACAAAGAAAGACGATGTTATTGTGGTGAAAATGATAAAAATGAATTAGTGCCTACAAGAACAACAATATTTTGGAGGATATACATGGACTATAGGAAGCTTAACAAAGCAACGAGGAGAGACCACTTCCCATTGCCATTTATAGACCAACTGCTAGATCAACTTGTCGGTAATGTTTTTTTATTATTTTTTGGATAGATATAGTGGTTATAATTAAATTGATATAGTTCTAGAGGACCAGGAGAAAACAATTTTCACTTGTCCATATGGTATCTTTGCATTTCATAGAATTCCATTTAGGTTATGTAATGCTTCAACGATGTTCTAGTGTTGTATGATGGCCATTTTCTCTTATATGATTGAAGATTATCTTGAGGTTTTTACGGATGATTTTTCAATTTTTGGCCAAGTCTTTGAGAACTGTTTGAGCAATTTGGCTGCAGTTTTGGGATGATATGAGGAGACCAACTTAGTTTTGAATTGGGAAAATTTTTATTTTATGGTCACAGAAGGTATAATGCTAGGGCCCCAAATTTCAAGCTGTGGCATCGAAGTGGATAAAACAAAAGTGGAGGTTATTTAAAAACTACCACCTCTTATTAATGTGGAGGCAGTTCAAAGATTTATTGGTCATACTGGTTTCTATAGAAGGTTTATTAAAGTTTTCTCTCGAATTGCTAAGCCATTGTATTCATTACTGGAGCAAAACAAGAAGTTTGTTATTGACGAATAAGTTCTTAAATTATTTTATACAATAGAGAAGAAGCTAGTTAATGCCATGTTATTATGGCACCTAATTGAAATTTTCCCTTTGAATTAATATGTGATGCTAATGATTTTGTTGTAGGAGTAGTGCTGAGGCAATGAAAGGATAAAATGTTTCATGCGATCCATTATGCAAGTATGACATTAAATAAAGCTAAGGTTAACTACATCACAACTGAAAATGAATTACTTGTTATGGTGTTTTCTTTCAAAAATATTTGTTCATATCTGGTAGGCGCAAAAGTGATTGTCTATATTGACCACCCAACACTGAAGTATTTATTTTCCAAGAAGGATACAAAACCTCGTTTGATTAGATGGGTACTTTTTCTATAAGAATTTGATATTGAGATTCGAGATAAGGAGGGATCTGAGAATCAAGTGGCTGATCACTTATCTAGGTTAGAATATGGCAACGCAAGATGGCAACATTTTAGTAATTCCAGATGAATTCCCTAATGAGATCTGTTAGATACTACATCATTACCGTGGTATGCTAATGTTTCCAACTATCTAGTCAGTGGGATGATGCCACCAGTTATTAATTATGAAGGTTGAAGGAAATTCACGAGTGACATAAAGCAATACCATTGGTAAATTCCATATTTATTTAAGCAATATAATGATCAACTCATGCGGTGACATATCCCTGAATATGAACAACTAAACATCTTACAACATTGTCATAGTGCCTCGTATAGAGGATACTTTGGTGGTATACGTATAACACCAAAAGTGTTTCAATGTGGATATTATTGGCTATCAATTTTTAAAGATGCCATTGAGTTTATAAAGCATTCTGATCACTGTCAGCGAACATGAAATATTTCTCGATGAAATGAAATGCCAATGCAACCTATATTGGAGACAAAGTTATTTGATGCTTGGGGATTAGATTTTATGGGTCCATAGCATTATTCATGTGGCAACCTTTTTATTCTAGTTGTTGTAGACTATGTGTCTAAATGGGTGGAAGTTGTAGCTTTTCCGAACAACAATGCTACGATTCTTACACAAAAATATCTTCACTCATTTTAGAACCCTTGTGCTTTTATCAGTAATGAAAGATCTCAATTTATTGGTTATCAGGTTTCTAGAGCATTGGATAGATATGGAGTAAAGCATAAGATTACTACAACAATCATCCACAATCTAATGGTCAAGTCGAAGTGTCTAACTGAGAAATAAAGCTAATTCTTGAGAAAGTCGTAAACCTTTATAGAAAAGATTGGTCACAATGCCTTGAAGAAGCATTATGGGCTTATAGGACCACTTACAAGACTCCATTAGAGATGTCCCCTTATCGTCTTATTTATGGAAAAGCTTGTTATTTACCGGTGGAGTTGGAGCATAAAACTATGTGGGTATTAAAGAGGCTAAACATTGATCTAGATGTTGCAAGCGAAAAAAGAATGATGGAGCCTAATGACTTATAGAAGCTCCAAAATAATACATATAAGAGTTAACACATTTTATAAAGACAAGTGAAAAAAGTGGCATGATCAAAATATTTTGCCAAGGTAATTCATTGCTAGACAAAATATGTTGTTATTTAATTCGAGACTAAAGTTATTCCATGGAAAATTGTGTTTTCATTGGTCTGTACCTTTTAAAGTTCTTGAAGTCTTTCCTCATGGTGTAGTATTACTAAATAATATAGTATATGGAAGCACATTTAAAGTCAATGGACAATGTTTAAAGTATTATTGCCAACAACAAAGCCCCAACATTGCTTCAATCACACTAAGTGACCCCTTATTTTTTTATTTTTTTATTTTTAATAATTCAATTCCTTTTACATTTATTTTTAAGTCCTTATTTTCATTATTTCTTTTTTGTACATGTATTTTTTTCTTTCACTCATTCTCAATCAGCTCTTTCATAATGGGCAGCTCTTCAGATTCTGATATGTGTTCATCGCTGTACTGAAGCCACATCATTACGAGGATAACCAATTATTTCTTACGGTAAAACTCTATCTAAGCTGTTTACCATTTACCA